GTGCAGTGTCGTACAAACTACCAACAAAAAGAGTAAAATAATTAAAATTACTTCATTTGAAATCATGGTGGTTGGCTCATATAACGCATTTGAAAATCGCTTATATGTCAGTACCACCCTTTTTAGTTTCCCTGTACTAATTCCAATGTAATTATTTTTATACTATTATCTGCGTAATAGTTCCATATAGCCRCACTGTCTTGTGGACGTATATATTTTACTATATTTATCATATTTATAGAAAATGCATTGTTGAACTGTTAATGCGTGTGCGAGGGACATTATACTGAGTATTACAGTGATAGTTAATCGGCTTGTCATCAAAACGCTCGAGACCACCAATTTTATTTTTAAATTTCTAACTCTTAAAAGTTAAATAAAAAAGAACCGATACTTTTGAGTATTAACTTCTATTTACAATTATTTATTAATTTATCAGTGAATGACTACCCATAAACTGCTGTATAATCCCATAAATAAATGACCCGTGCAGAGCAAATGACAGAAATGCAGTGGTGGAATTAAAGGGTGAGCAGATCCTCTGCCTACCTCACATTAAAAAAAGTGGTACTGTACAATTGAATTTAATAAAATATACACTTTCATCATTATTGTGGTATAATATAAGTATCTATACTTTATATTGTTTAATAGTAAATTGTCGTTAGTCTTTATCTTAAATTTTCTTGAGGAGCACTAATGTGTATTCCATAYGTGGTTTTCCCATAGAGGCTCAACAGTTCTTTGTTTATCATCCTAATTTGGGTTTATGTGTTTGACGAATGACGACAGTTGTGCCCAGAATAAATTATTGTTTCAATGTTTGTAACTATGAATCATTTAAATACTGAAAAATCCTTTTTTACATTACAACGGCTTAAAATTTGGTTGAGTACACAAAAAGCCATAACYGAAAAAAAATGTCGGAATTTAACATTAATTTAATATGGATATAGGACACCTCATGTTTTTACATGTCATCATGTTTTGCATTTTTTGCATGTATATTCATGACACATTTATGGAGATCTAGACAAACCAATAGATCGATTTGTAATCCTTGGCAATCAGAACCTTCAACTAGTTTTATATCACAGAAATAAGGAATGGATCATTAATTTAAGGTTCTGCTGTGTAATGCTGCTTTATCTAAATGAATTTCTTCTAAATTTTCTTTGATGATCAAATAGTAAAATGTATTTTTACTTTACTAAAAAATGTATAATAGGTAATATAAATTTAGTTTATATATATATATATATATTTTTTTTTTGATTTAATAAATACACTTTTATGTTTTTGATTTTAGAATAAAATATTGTAATATCTGATTTACTGACCTCAATTAAATTAATTTTAAAACATATTTTATGGTTACTGTAAGACAATTATAGTTAAACCAGTTAAGGYCAATAGTAATATACTAAAATTCTTTTRCATAGGGTATTTATTTATTAAACACTGAACATGAGTTGATTAATTACTAATGGATAACTTTTAGATTGAAATAAAAAATTAGATATCTCAAATAAAGCATTTAAGAGAATTATAAATCCAATAAATAAACTATGTGATAATTGAAGTTTAGTGACTAATAGTTCTTAAATGGATGCTACACCAATCATTATCAGAGGTAAGAACATGTGTACACAGCACATGAAACATAAATAAAAAGTGGTTTTAAAATAAAAATACCATTGAGATTTATAGAGAATATTTAGGACACAAAACTAATGGGTGTTTTTTGAAATAAAAATTATTAAGAASGTTAATTATTTAAAATTAAAGTTCTAGTACCTTTCTTTTATAACATGCAGTATATGTATAATAATAGAAAACTAAGGTCAGCATAATTTTGAATATTTCATTAGATAGCTATA